TCTCTAACCCAGGTCACTAATGGAGCTGAGGTCTGGAGTGGGGTCAAAGGGAGCTCCAGAGTCCCAAAGAGAGCCATGTGTGGACCACGTGAGTCTACATGACCTTGAGCTGCCAGGACAGGGCACTCACTGTCCCAGGAAGCCATACTTGCTTGGCCAGGCCTGTCAATGAGGCTCAGGACCTCAGTTCTTATTTTTCTTTTTTCACCTGGAAAAAAAAAATGTGTGTTAAAAATAAGTCACTTTCACAAGAAGAGATTTTTAGAAAGCTAGATGTTCCTATAGCTGTAGCAACTTTTGGGGTGAGCAAAAATTAGCTTCCATCATCCGCTCTCCTAGTTTCCTGCATGCCCTGGATGACAGCTATTACATTGCTCTCAGAACTTTGAAAGGAAAGATAAGCAAACTTTTCCCCATAAAGGGCCGGATAGTAAATATTTTAGTCTTTATAGGCCTACGGTCTCCATTGCAACTATTCAACTCTGCTGCTGTAGCTGGAATACAGCCACAGTATGTAGACGAATAAGTGTGGCTGTGTTCCAATAAAACTTTATTTATAAAAACAGGGGGCAGGCTGGATTTTTAGTTTACAGATCATAGTTTGCTGTCCTCTGTGTTAAAACATCCTCATTTGGAGAAAGGCATTGGTTCTTGTATCTATCTTCCTGTTTCCTTTCTTTAATGGGGTGGGAGGAGCAGTGCCCAGAGGAGGAGGCATATAGTAGCTTATGGTGGTCTTGTGGGCTGCTGTTTCTTACCCAGAATTGTGGCTACTACCGTAGTCAAGCATTCTAGCAAACATAGCAAACCAGAAGGGAAGATTCAAACGGGTTCCCTAAGAAAGAAGGAGATGTTGGGGCATAAGCCAAGAGCACCCATGTGGACAGTTATGGAATCATGAGTGTTAAGTCCATGTTACTGAGTATCTTAAGTCTAGAAATATATTTCTCAGTATGGAAATAAACAAATGTTTTATTTCTTCTTCTAAATATATGTTCCTCTATAAGGGGTGCATGTGTGTGATATTCTGTGATGGGAATAATAATTGCTAATGTCCATTGAGATCTTACTGTGTACCAGACTCTTTGCTGTTTTACATGTTATTTAATCCTCATTGCAACTTATGGCAAATGTGCTATAATTATCCACATTTCATGGATGAAGAAACTGAAGAGGACCAACCATGAAGATCCCATCTCCCGTCTTTTATATGATGTGGCGCTGGGTGACATTGCCAGTTTTGGTGCCATGGCAATGAAGCATGATAGGGGATGTGGTAAACTGAGGCAGGATGGAGGCTTTCAGAGCTCGAGGACATGGCTATGATGAAAGACAGTGCTGGGGAGGGTTAGTGAGATGATGGAACTTGGGCATTAGTACTTGGGACAAGCCAGATATCCGTGTTTCACTGGGAGTCTCTTGCTGCTCACCATCGGGGGCCCTCAAGAGATAGCACTGAATCCAGCTTATTATAACTTGCCACTGGGGCAGGGGCCTCACTCACACCTGGCTGGGTGGGAAGGATCTAAGCTTAGCTCCCCTAGTTTTGTGAGAGTGGCTTAGCTTGGGCCAAGCTGGGCTTTCAGATGGACCAACCTTGAATTAGCATTTCATTTCTGCCTCCTGATGTCGCTGTGACCCTTAGAATGTGACCTAACCCCTTTGGACCTCAGTGGATTTGTAAGGAAATTTGCCTGTTCCAAAATGCTCTGAAGAACACCTCTGGTCATTTCCTCTCTGTGAAATTTGGGTCAAATTATTTAGCTGATTCTCAGTTTTATTGTGCATAAAGTGTGGATGGTGATAGCACTGAATTCATGGGGCTCTTTCGAGGACTAAATGAGATAATCCATGGAAGTGGCTTAGCACAGTGCATAGCACATAGTGCATTCTCAGTAAATGTTGGCTGATATCATTGTTGTTCCCACTGTACAGACGAGGAAATGGAGGCTTAGAAGTTTTCTCCCGACCCACCCTAGGTCACAGAGAAAGTGCCAGAACCAAGCCGCGTGACACCTTCTGATAGTAAATCTTGCATTCCTGACACTTTACCAAATTTTATTTCATTCATTCTTTCATGAAGCATTTATAGGGTTTCCCTCAAGCTCTCAAGCATTAAAGTACTGGGCTCTTTGATGTGTCTTAAGGATTCAGTAATGAACAAAAGGGACACACACTTCCTACCCTGGTAAGCTTTCCTAACTTCTGTGGGAAGACAGAAAATAAATAAGGAAATGAGTAAATAAACAATTTCAGAGTGTAACTAAGGAGTATGAGCAACAGCCCCGTGAAACATCAGCAAGGCGGTGTCGCAGGGAATGATTGGAGAAGAGGGGAGGCTACTTTTTTCTGAATGTTCCATGGGTCTTCTCTGAGAAGGTGGCGTTTGATTTTGGACACAGAAAATGCCGGGAGCCAGCCACGCGACGCGCCAGGGCAAGAGCGTTCCAGGCAGGGGGAACAGCAAGAGCAAAGGCTCTGAGACCATCAGGAGCTTGGCGTGGGCCTCAGCAGGCTTCAGGCGCTGACACAACTCTTGCCAGGAACCAGTTTAAGCCTGTCCTTTGTGTCGAGGAAACCTTTCCTCACCTTTCCCCGACTGATCTGAAGTTTCCCTGACATGGGGAATGACCTGTGGCCATCTCCTTCTTACGCTGTTCCTTCAAAATAAAAATGTAAAAAGACATCACTGTTGTGCAAGGAAAGATGAAAGATGCCACTCTGGCATCCGAGCGGGCAGAGCTCTGGCCTAGGGCCCCTTCTCTTTGTAGCCTGGCCCTCCCTGTGCCTGTCTGTCCACCTGTGAAATTAGGAGCTGGGCCAGACCACCCCTTCTCTCTTTAAATTTGCAAGAGCAGCAGAATCCCACGCTGTTTTTTTGAGGGAAAAAAAAGACTTGCTGGCTTGGGTGGGACCGCTTTTCAGACTGGTGGGGCTCTCTAGCTGGTCTCCAAATTGCACCGCATTCACCTGTTTCAGCTGAAAGTGACTGTTCTCTTCCCCTACCTCTTCAGCCTCTCCTTGATGGGTGAGGCTGAGTGCTGACCCCACACATGGGCCCCTTCCTTCATCCCACTTTCCTTCCTCCCTGTCCCAGTGCATCACCTGTCTTCTTGCAAACGGTGCTGGAGGCAGGGCGCTGGGCTGTGTGAGCAGACAGAATCTGTCTGCCATGTCCCACTGTGTTCTCCTCTTTCCGTGATGTGCAAATGGACCAGACAGAGGCCCATGGCAGACCACTTGGGGAAGCTGGTCTGAACGGAGACTCTCGTTTCCAGGGGACTCTTGTTACCTGGCACTCTTTGTGTCCCAGCAAATGTAGCTGAGTACTGTGAAGGGGGGTGCAGTTATGGTCTCGTAGGATGTCAGAAGTCGAAGTGTTTTGGGAGAGGGTTTAACTTACTGCCTCTGTCACACATGTAGAAACTCTGGCCCCAGCAGCTATGTGACTTGCCCAAGGTCACACAGTAGTAAGTGGTGACAAAAGCCTGTATTTGCCATGCAGATCAGCAGCATACCATAGTTGGCACCGCCAATCCATACAGCACTTGATGGACAAACTCACACGCAGTTACTTTAAAATATTTTGCTTGTTTTATGAAATTATGTGAGCTGAACATATATGATATAGCTCACTTTTCTATTTATAATTCATAGATTGGAATTAAATATTAATTTAACAAACACTTATTTGGCACTTACTATGTGCTAGGCGCTGTTCCAGGTGTTTCCGAAGATTAAATTCACCCAATTCTCATGACAACCCTGAGGCAGGCACTATTATTATCCTAGTTTTACAGATGGGAAATTGAGGCACATACAGGTTGAATAATTTGACCAAGGTCATAAGCTAAACAGAAAAACCTTACATACTGGCTTTGGAGTTCATAGCTTTAATCACTACCTCGTGGTATGTCTCACTGGGCAAAGAACATCACCTCCTTCCCTGGGCATGCCTGAGGACTCCTAATCTCATTAAAATCCCTACTTTAAAGAGGAGAAAACTGAATCCTGGAAAGGGCATGAGGGCATAAGATCAGGTTCTAGGTCACTGCCGTTTCTGTTAGTCCTGTGCTTTCTCCACTGCACTGTGCCGTGTTGGAAGTCTGAACACGTCTCTGGTCTAGAAGACACCCAGCAGCAAGTTCATTATTCTCCCTTGAAGTCCCTTGGCTAACTTCCACCTTTGTTGTTTTCATTCCTGGATTTAATATAATAAGCCACATTAACCTAAGCTGCCACACCAAGTCTCGGAGAGAAAGAAGCAAATGAACAGATCAGACACTGTTTCCCTGGTCCTTGGGGAATGCCCAAGCCATCAGAGAGACATCATCTTATTTATTATAAATTCACTGTTCAAAGAGCTTTAAAATATTTTTTTTTCTATTAGGAGTATTGTTTCTATCTGTGGAGTCCATGAGTGTTTGACATTGGATGACTTTATAAAACATTCTACTAATTGGATTTGTTAAAGCAAATAAATCAAACACTAATTGGAACGTGCCCTGCCATTATTTTTGCTTACTGAATTAGATATAATGGTGTGAAGGCCTTCTTATCATATTTGTGCACTTATTTAAACACCCCCCTGGCACACACTTTTGCAAATTCAATTAGATATTCAGAAAAGGAATTCAATTTATGCAAGGCTGGTTTACATTCGTTCCGGGGGCAAGAATCGGCTCCCCAAGATAGGCTGCTCATGATTAATAAGCCCCTTTTAGATATCACCCTGCCTTCAACACAGCTGTGGGCATGAGGGTGGAATCTCCATGATTTGGGGCTTGGGGCACTTTCCCTTCAGAATGTGTGTGTCCACAGAGCAGCGCTGGCTTCATGGGCGTGCAACCTGTGTACTCGCACAGACCCTGGTGCTCGGAAGAGCCCATGCTTGGTTTCATGCTCTGTTATTGCCGTCTTGATTTCTTGATAATTTTAAAACAAGAGACTCTGAATTTTAGTTTTGCACTGAGCCCCATAAATTTTGTGGCTGGGCCTACCTTAGAGGTTGCCTTGGTTTTCAGACCTTCTGGCCAAGGAAGAAGTCCTTGATTGAGGTCTTGGCTCTGCCCCTGATGTGGTACGTCATCATCTGAGTGTGTCTTCCACTCTGGCCTTGGTCTCTTCATCTGTAAAGTGAGAGGCCTGCTTCTCACCCAGGATGAACGCATGCTATAGTTTAGGTGGAATGCTTATTTAAGTCTGGGGAGTTAAGGTTCTTTACTCAATCCCTTACCCTAAGGCCAGGAGTGTAGCATCAGGAGACAATGGGAGACATGTTTCCCCCTCCACTTCTTAGAACAAGGGAGGAACATTCTAGAACTGAGAATTGAGAGGAAAGGGTCAACAGCATATGACATCAGACACTCAAATGGTGATTCACAGTACTGTGTTATATTTCAGTGACTGTTAAAATTGGAAATTTTTATGTCGTTTGAGCCGAGGTCAGCAAAGTACAGCCTTCAGGCCAAATCTGGATGTGCACTGGTTTTTATATAGCCCACAAGTGAAGAATGGTTTTTATATTTTTAAATGGTTAGGAACATCAAAAGAGTTCTATTTGGGGACATGTGGAAATCATATGAAATTCAAAACACAGTGCCAATAAATAAAGTTTTATTAGAATACAGTTGTGCCCATTGTTTTTGTATTGTTTATGGCTGCTTCTGTGCCAGAGTGACATTGTTGAGTACTAGTGACAGGGACCGTGTGGCCTACTGTGATAGGCAGAAGTCTAAGGTGGCCCCCAAGACCCAGGCCTCCCTCTGGTGTGCGGTGGGCGGATCCTGTATAACCCCCATCCCTTGGGTAGGACTGTGCGTGGTATGGATTTCACTCCCTTGATTAGGTTATATTAGTGATAAAAGTGAAGGAATTTTACAGATGTAAGAAGGTCCCCAATCTGTTGATTTAAGTTAATTAAAAGGACTATTATCTTAAACGAACCAGGTTGAATCAGAGGAGTCCTTCAAAGGGACTGAGCCCTGCCTAAAGGAGGAGATTTGAAACACGGGGGCTTAATGGAGGGGGCCACGTGGCCAGGAACTGAGCATGGCTCCTAGGGGCTGAGACTGGCCCCTGGATGACAGCCAACAAGAGGATAGAGACCTCCGTCCTACAACCACAGGAAACGAATTGTGCCCCAGACCCCGCAAGCTCAAGGGAGTACCCCAAGGTCCAGAAAGAGACCCTGAGAGGAGAACCCTACTGAGCCGTGCCTGGACCTTTGCCTTATAGAGACTTCTGGGTGATAAACAGGTGTTGTTTTAAGCAGCTAAGTTTGTGGCAATTTGTCATGCAGCAATAGAAAACGAATACACCACATTATGGACTGAATTCTGTTCCCCCATTCATATGCTTTTATTTTATTTTACTTTGAGAAAGGGTCTTACTCTGCCATCCAAGCTGGAGTGCAGCGGCATCATCATAACTTACTGCAACCTCAAACTCCTGGGTTCAAGCAATCCTCCTGTCTCAGCCTCCCAAGAGTAGCTGGGACTATAGGCATGAGCCACCATGCCTGGCTAATGTTTTTTAATGTTTTTAAAATAATTTTTCCTTTTATTTCCTCATATTATGGGAGTACAAATATTGTTAGGGTTACATATATTGCCCCTGTGTGTCCAACCCCCAGGTGGTGTGCACCGTACCCATTATGTAAGTATACACCCTTCCCCTCCTTCTCCCTCCCACCTGTCCACCTCCCAATAACAGTTTTTTTTAGACATTTTGGTTACATTATATATCTTTGCCTCTCCCTAAAAAGGGTTAGAGGTAATCCCTTCCCCCCCACAATGCTCACCACATCCCTAAAATGTGGGTCTCCCCCCTCCCCAAATACCTGGTGAACATTACCACTATTTGAGCACCATAGTTTTAATCAGCCAGTACCAATTTGATGGCGAGTAGATGTGTAACCCATTTTCCAGATCTTGTGTCACCTCACTTTGTATAACTGGCTTAAGCTTAATCCAGGATAGCATAAATGGCACTAGCTCACTGTCTTTTCTTAGAATTGAGTAATATTCCATTGTGAGCATATAGCAAATTTTAGTTATCCACTCATGAATTGACGGGCACTTGGGTTGTTTCCATGACCGTGCAATAGTGAATTGTGCCACCATAAACATTCAGGTGCAGATGTCTTTATAATAGAATGTCTTATGCTCTTTTGGGTAGATGCCCAACAATGCTATTGCTGTGACGAATGTATTTCTATTTCTAGCTGTTTGAGGTATCTCTAAATTCTTTTCCACAAAGGTTGCACTAATTTGCAGTCCCACTAGCAGTGTAAGAGTATTCCTGTCTCTCCACATCCTCGCCAGCATTTGTTGTTTTGGGATTTCTTGATACAGGCCATTCTCACCGGGGTTAGGCGATATCTCATTGTGGTTTTGATTTGCATTTCTCTGACGATTAGAGATGTTGAGCATTTTTTTTATATGTTTGCAGGCCATTATTCTGTCTTCTTTGGAGAAGTTTCTGTTCATTTCCATTGCCCATTTCTTGATGGGGTTGTTTGATTTTTTCTCGTTTATTCTTTTAACTTCTAGATAGATTCTTGTTATTAGACCTTTATCAGAAGTGTAGAGAGCGAATATTTTCTCCCACTGTGTGGGTATACAGTAACCTAATCTTTGATAAAGCAGACAAAAATGTACAATGGGGAAAAGATTCTCTCTTCAATAAATGGTGCTGGGAAAACTAGTTAGCAACATGCAGAAGAGCGAATCAGGATCCCAACCTCTCACCTCTCACAAAAATTCATTCAAGATGGATAACAGACTTAAACCTAAGGCATGAAACCTTAAGAATCCTAGAAGAAGATGTTGGGAAAACCCTATCAGATATTGGTCTAGGCAAAAAATCTTTGAGGAAGACCCCCAAGACAATCACTGTCACATCAAAAATAAGCAAATGGGATGTGGTCAGATTAAAAGGTTTCTCCACAGCCAAAGAAACTATCATTAGAGTTTTAAAATTTTTTGTAGAGATGGAGTCTCACTATGTTGTCCAGGCTGGTCTTAAACTCCTGGCCTCAAGTGATCCTCCTGCCTCAGCCTCCCAAAGTGCTGGGATTACAGGCATGAGCCACCACACTCGGCCAAATTATCCCCCAGTGTGACTGTATGTAGAGACAGGGCCCACAGACAATTTAAGTGTGGTCATAAGGGTGGGGCCTTAGTTCCTTAAAATTGGGAAGAGATACCAGAGCACATTCTCTCTTTATACACGCACACCAGGAAGGGCCTGGTGTGGACACAGTGAGGAGGGGCCACCTGCGAGCCAGGAAGGAAGCCTTCTCCAGAAACCCACCCTACGGGACCTTGGTCTGGGATTTCTGGTCTCCAGAACTGTGAAGAAATAAACATGTGTTGTTCAAATCACCCAGTTTGTGTTATTTTGTTATGGCAGCCCGAGCCGACTAATACAACCCACAAAGCTGAACATACTTGCTCTCTAACTCTTTACAGAAACAGTTGGACAACCTGTCAGTTAAAAAATTATACAAAATACCTTGAACATATCCCTCTTTTGTGTGCCCTCTAACCATTTGTTCTTGATATGTCACGAGTCTGTCTGAATAGCTCACAATGTGAGCTCCCCACACATCCCTGGTGAGTATATGAGGCCCAAGGTGCCCCCTTCCCTCCCATGCATCTTCCTGCCTAACTTTGAGCCCCCAACTCCATTCCTTTCCTTCCTCATCATTCCATGGCCTTCCCCGTGAGTGGAAGGGGCAGAGTCTACCTGCCGTGGTTTGACCTCCCAAAAGGCCAATTCCCATCTAGGGCCCTGGTAGTGACTAGGGGCAGAGGGCATGCAGACAGGGATGGGGAAGGCTTTGCAGACACCTGCTTCCTTCAACTGGTTCCTTTAAAGGTCAAGATTAACCTCCCAGTTCATTGCCATGGCAACCTAGTGTAATGGGTTAAGTGCAGAGACTGAGTTATTATAAATGGTTGGGGTTCAAAGACTCGTTTTGCCACTTGTGATTTGTGTGATCTTGTGCTAGTTTTTTAAACCTTTCTATGCCTTAGTTTCTTTATTCATAAAATGGAGGCCAATGGCCACATCTGTCTCATGGGGTGGTTGTGGTAATAAGTGAGTTACTATTGGTAAACACCTAGAACCATGTGCCTGGCACTGAGTCCTGGTTATCCTTACTGTCTCTCAGATCTAATTGGGATTTGTGAACACAGGGGCTTTGTGCTCAATAGCTCTCAGCTTCTGTCTCTCTCTCTTGCATCATGATTACCTGCCCCTGCCAACCCTGCTCAAACCTGCTCATAGTTCACTCCTGAGCAGTCTCGGCTCTCGTTTGACCTGTTGCTAATACTCTCATTTCTCCTCTAACAGCTTCTTGGCCTTCCCGCAGCCTCACCTCACTCTTCTTCCTTGCCTGTGGCCTGATGGCTTCTCCTTGGTTCATTCTGAGATTTCCCTTCTCTCTCTGGCTTCAGAGTCTCCATCTGTTCTGAGCCTTCGTGGCATCAGGGTAAATGTTCTTAACAGGTGCAGCCTGACCTCTGAGCTCTTGGTCCCTGCCCTGCTTCCAGGCTTCCGCTGGGTTCACTCTGACCCCCAAGAGAAGCCTACTGACAGTGGATGAGAGCTGCCTCTGTGGGCCCTGGCCTGGCTCTCCTGCCTGAGTGGAGGGGTATCTTAATATGTCCAACCATTCCTTGAACAATAAAGGACAAACACATACTACAGGCCAGACTCTGAGGAAAGGCACCCATGTGGCATGTCCCTGTTTCCATGGAGCTTTGGGGCATGGAGTTGGATGGACACAGACCTGTGGTTTCTGTTCCTGTCCCCCAGATACCCACTGCTGAGGTCTCCTCTAAGCACCATAAGGATGATGTCAAGTGGGCTACCAGGACTTTCAGTACCAGCTGCATAACCCAGGGCAGGGGGTGTTTCTGCACATCCTCATCCATGGCAGATCACAGGGGCTTCTGGTCACGTTTGTCACAATTATGAGCTCTACCAGAAGTAGTACCTACCATGGAGGGCAACCGAAGACCCCCCCCTTTTTTATCATTATTATTATTCTTTTTAACGTTTGGCCCAGTTTTCTTTCTTTACTTAGCTCCACTGCTAGATGTTAAAGGCACAACTTTGTATTCTGGAAACATCAGGGTGAGACCAGATTCTGTGAACACACACAGGGTGTTTGCAAGAGGGCAGGGTTGGAGCAATGGAAAGTACCTGGGCTTTGGCACCACCCAGCCGAGGGCTAACATCTTGACTCCACTGCTTCGTGAGGGTGAGTTTGATACCACATCTGTAAAATGGGTACAATCAAAATGACAGGGCCTGTGGTGAGGATGAAAGGTAATATAGGTAAGGCTTGCACA